GACTTCTGCTCTAGCTAGCCTAGTGGAGCCTATATACCCGATACCCTACCCTGTAGGGAGTTGTAGAGCAATAGTTCAGGAACACTCCGCTACCTTAAGGATTCAACGGTCTTCTTGTAGACCCCGGCGCCCTTCGTCAGAATCCCAAAGCCCCAAAAGCTCCAAACCCCAAATCCTGACCCCCCAAACCCAAATTCCAAACCCCAAACCCTAAACCCCAAACCCGAAACCCCAAAACCCCAAACCCAAAACCCTAAACCCTAAACCCTAAACCCCAGACCCCAGACCCCAGACCCTTGACCCGAAGCTCTGAGGGTGGGCTGCCCTGCCCGGGGGACGAGCCACGAGCTGGGTCAGTGCAAGGATGTGGGCCTTGGCCCACAATTCTACTGCCGCTGGGCACCACTTTGCTCAGCTTAAGTTTTTTTTTTTTTTTTTTGGGGGGGGGGGGGGGGGGCATGCGGCATTCTTCCTACATCCCGAAACCCTAAGCATGCCCTGAAATGCTGATGTCCAGTGCCCTGTGTATGCAGAAAAGAAGAGAAGTAAACTTGAATCCATATCGAGCTTTCGAGCGTTCTAGAGCTCTCTGCCGGGACGTTGGGATGGCATAACGTTGTTTCCCGCGATAGCGTGTGGCCACGAGGGTATATATCTGAATGTGCTTCTCTGCTTCTCTTGCGCTGGATCTCAGTACGGCGAACCACGGTGCTTGTGCAGCAAAGGGACATCTTTGATCACATGCGCAGTGCAAAGGTGCCGGGACCCTCCCCCAAGCGTTCGAGGCGTACCCCACGAAGCCAAATGCGGGCTAACGCTGTGCAAGGCGTGCGCTGCCCTGTACCCAAAGAATCCATGTACCTATATATATAGTATATTCTTGGGCCCTTAAAGCTACTATATAGGAACCCCTTTAAGGCCCAAGTATATACTGTATAGGTACATGGGTCCTTTGGGGTAGCTGGGGGACTCGCTGGAGCGCTGTGCGGGTGTAGGAGTTCGAGGGTCCAGGATTTAGAGTTCAGTTGCAGCTTCCCTTCGGGGCAGACGGAGACACCTTGCAACGACCTTCCTTTCCGTTAGTGGCCGCCTAAGTCCTGTGAACCCTAAAACCGAAACCCTGGGACCCCCCTAAACCCTCAACCGGCATTGGGGTGTCGTGTGGTGAGAAAGGTTACTGGGCTTCTATTTGGAAAGCAACAGAGACAGCTCACATTACGCAAACTGTCCTTGCCACGTAATTAGACCTTGCACGCCCTGAAAGCCGATGAGCCCTAACCACACATGAAGGGATACATAAACCCCGAGTAAGAACCCTTCACATTTCAAGCTAAGCCCGAACCCTAAACCTTGAACCGAAAGAGACCACATGATTGGTCGCCATGCGAGCCCCCGAAGGCCTACACCCCGAAGCCTTGACCCCGAGGCGAGTTTTGGAACCCCAAACCCCAAACCCCAAACCCCAAACCCCAAACCCCAAACCCTAAACCCGAAACCCTAAACCCCTAAACCCCAAACCCTAAACCCCTAAATCCCAAACCCTAAACCCTAAACCCCAAACCCTAAACCCCAAACCCTAAACCCCAAACCCTAAACCCCAAACCCTAAACCCCAAACCTAAACCCTAAACCCCAAAACCCTAAACTCCCAAACACACCAAACCCCGAGGCTGGTCGCCACAGCGCTTCGAGGCTGTCCTTGGCTTTCTCAAGCTCACAGTGGTCCCTAAACCCGAAAACCTTAAACCCCAAACCCTAAACCCTAAATCCTAAGCCCTAAACCCTAAACCCTAAACCCTAAACCCTAAATCCTAAACCCTAAATCCTAAACCCTAAATCCTAAATCCTAAACCCTAAACCCTAAACCCTAAACCCGAAATCCTAAACCCTAGACCCTAGACCACTATATCCTCACGTCCCTAAAGATCTCGCAAGCTCCTGAAAGGTCTCCCCACCCTAGGGTTTCGGGCTCAGCGTCGGGCTTTAGGGTGTTGGGGTATGGGGGTTTAGGGTGCAACTCCCCGGATTTAGGCCGGATCGGGCAACCAGTTATGCCTAAACCCCAACCCCTAAACCCTAAACCCTAAACCCCAAACCCCAAACCCTAAACCCTAAACCCTACTTCATCCTACTTCTAACCCCAGTTAGAGCGACCCCATGAACCTGCGATCTATCTAAGCCAGTCCGCTAGGAAGGCCCAGCGTAGTTCAACCAGGGTTTAGGGTTCAGGGTTTGGGGTTCAGGGTTTGGGGTTTAGGGTTTAGGGTTTAGGGTTCAGGGTTTTGGGGTTAAGGGTTTAGGGTTTAGGGTCTAGGGTTCAGGGTTTTGGGGTTCAGGGTTTAGGTTCGGGGTTTGGGGTTCAGGGTTTAGGGTTTAGGGTTTAGGGTTGGGGTTTCTTCATCTTATCACAGCATAGTTTAGGGTTCAGCATTTATAATATAGCGATCACGAATCAGCTGTATACCCGTTAATTTCCGCAGCTTGGGTTTCGCAAGGTATGCGGAGGTTTTTTTTTGCTGGATGAAGGCTAAAGCATTGCTGCTGCAAGGCGTAAGGGTTGTAGGTTTAAGGGCTCAGGGTCTACCCATAGGCTCAAAATTGCCCCAAGACCTTACACAACAAGGCCTTTGGGCCCAAAAAACCCTAAAATGCGAGTCCTTAGAGCCTGAGGGTTAGGGTCTAGGGCATCATCACTTTCCGGGGGTTGTGAGATGCCCAGAGACTTCAAAACCCCTTAGTTAAGGAGTATACCTTACGTCATATCAGGGCTCCTACTTTTCATTGAAGGGGCATTCCTTAATTTAAGGGGTTTTGGAGTCTCTGGGTGTTGAGCTTTCCGAGCCTGCGGCAGCATTGTGAGAGATGGGGCTGGCGTTTGTGCATTAGGGTTCCTAAACCCTAAACCCTAAACCCTAAACCCTAAACCCCCAAAAGGCTTCAGGGTTTCAGGGCCTTGCACATGAAGGACCGAGGTGCTCCCAGCGAGGCCCACTCAGCTGTTTTCAGTTCATAGCTCCAAATGCCCAGGTTTGTTTAGTTTTGTTTTTTTTTTTTTTTTTTATTGGTATTGAGGGTATTTTAGGCTAGGGGTTTTAGGGCTTTTAGGTTTTTTAGGGCTTAGGGTTTTTAGGGTTGTTGGGGTCTTTGGGGCCAGCCCGCAACTGGGAATCTTGCCATACAATTACAGGGTTCTTAGGGGGGGGGGGGGGGGGTGGTGCATCGGGGGTAGGAACCTGGGGGGGACGTGGAGCCTTCGGGAGTAGCAGGGAGTATTAGGGAATGTTGGGGGACCCTAAACCCTAAACCCTAAACCCTAAACCCTAAACCCTAAACCCTAAACCCCTAACCCCTATTTGAGAACCCTAAAATGCAAGCGCGTGTAAGGCCGGCGAGACGGCGCCCTGCGGCGCCGAAGATTCCGGGCCGCCTGGCAGCAAATAGCACTCCCCAAACCCTAAACCCTAAACCCTAAACCCTAAACCCTAAACCCTAAACCCTAACCCCTAAACCCTAAACCCTAAACCCTAAACCCTAAACCCTAAACCCTAAACCCTAAACCCTAAACCCTATAAACCCTAAACCCTAACCCCCTAAGGGGCCTTTAGGGGAGGAATGGAGGAGTGGATCTCTATATATCCTTAATGTTTACCTATATGACTAATGTGGCCATTAGATTGTATAGTGTAATCGGTACTACTGATACATTGAACATAGTTCAGACATCTAGTATACTAATAAACGCAAATATGTAATGAATATGCCGAGGCAAATAATACAACTGTAGCTGTACCTAGTAACCCAATTGTAGCCCTGTTTTGACATGCCATGTTTTGCTTGTCGGGGAGCCCAGCTTGAGACGAGATGTTGTGGATCCAGCAGAGCAAACCACAAGCCGAAACGTCCCAAAGCCCAAAAGTCCAACATTCTCAGGCGAAAAGTCCAAAAGTCCAAAAGTCCAAAAGTCCAAAATTCCATGTTTTGTTTGGACCCTGAGAACCTTGGACTGCTGGACTTTTGGGGACTTTCAGACTTCGGACTCTTGGACGCTTCGGCTACTCACCCACCCTCCCCCAATGACAACCACGACAGGCGCCTGTCATGGGAGCTAAAGGGTCAACCAAAAAACTACACACATATGTGTATATATATATATATGTAGATAGTCATGACTAAACACCTCCCCAAGGAGATGCCTTTGCGTCGCTCCAGCTCGCTTGGGGGATGCTCATCTGCGGTGCACGATTCGGGCCTCAACCCTGAACCCTAAAGGACCTAGAGTAAGGTACGCCCACAACTCGAGTTGTTCAGGTTCCTGGGACTTGAAATAGGGTATGTCGTAGGTCGCAAAACCCTCTCAAGCCTCAACCCGCGACTACTGAGACATCTCCTTTTCACGGGTATATAGGTTACGTAGAGCTTCAGGGTTTCTTCTGAGCGAAAGCAGCAATGCTCCTAAGCCCTGAGCCCTAAACAAGTGAAAGCAGACACAGACGCCCTAAATCCTAGAAACCTAAGAGATGCAAGAAACCCTGTAAACCCTATAAACTATGAACACCATGAACCCTATAAACCCTAGATCCTATAGACCCTTCAGCCCTAGAAGCCGCATGAATGAGCCTATAGTGCCTTAACAAGTCCTATACCTGAACCTAAAGAGGTCTGCAGCTTGGGTTCTTCGGTCTCTGGCTGATTTTTGAGCTTGGCAGTACTCCTGCGAGCTTTAGATTCTAACTCTACACGACCCATCTCGAACTGGGCCAACGCAGCTCCCGGACAAGGGGCTCTTGGTAGGGTTAAAGGTTAAGGGTTCAGGGTTTAGGGTTTAGGGTTTGCAGGCTTTGAAATCACGAGTCGTGAGGGTGGTTGGGGGCGCAGTCTAGGATCGGTTGCTCCACGTTTTGGGCTGCGAGCCGGACTGAATGGTCTAGACTCATGTCTGATAGATGCGACCGGCGAGGCAGTGATCGGGGCTCAAGCGAAGGCTCATTGTGCCGACCCGCCATGGTGCGGGATGTGCTCGTAGTGAACAACAGCTGTGTGGCCCTGCCCCTTGGGTGTGGCTATCCCACGTGCATCCACCACGAGGCCCTCAAGGCCTTTAAGCTCAAGGTGCAACTCTCGGACGCCCATGCGGCTGCCGTGGCCAACACCGTGCGGCAGCAGCTGGCATGCCAGAAATGGGCCTCGCGCCTTTGCTTCCTGCTCCTTCTCCTTCTGCTCCTTGTCCCTGTGGCCTCCGACGCGCTGACGAAAGAGCCCGAGACACCCTACAAGGCGTGCATCGTGAACGCCACCCTCACCTGCGTGGTGGTCTTGTGGCTGGCGCCTGGGGCATGAGAATCCTTGCCTTTCGCAACATCAGGACCCAACTGGCTGAGCACTTCAAGGACTGCCGGCCCGACTTGTCCTTTGAGATCCGATGCACTTCTAGGGTGAACTTCGTTGCTGTCGCCTGGAAACTATTCATAGGCTACCAGGCAGCACATGCTGCCATCTTGGCCACACCTAGCCAGGGAATGGCCTTTGAGCAAGGTCAGAATGACCGCGCGGAGCCTTTGCTATCCGTTTGAGTGTACAGTGTACAGATTGACCCTTTGGAGCCTGACAAAAACTCGAAATTGAGCTTCTTGAGCGGGCCGTTTGATGATTCTGAGACCTTGAAAGGAGCGCCCCAAGGGGGGAAGCAAGCCCCAAAAGGCACCCCCTTTGAGCATTGTGCCAAGGCTGCGAAAAGCGACATGTTTTCTTACCTGACGTGCAGCTTCAAGTATTTTCGCAGAGCCAAGTGATGTGTGTGGGCAGTCCGAGACAGGTTTGCCACTGTTCTAGCGAGGTGACCATGAATTCTATTGATTTTTCATCGCTTTTCGATAGAGATGAACTTGAACTCTTTAGAAGCCGTGGTTCGGAGTGGCCGCTTCCCCGTCAAGCCCCTATAATGACGGCTTATACTGACATCTATACCTTTGGCATCATGTCGACCCGATACGACATGGACCTAGCCCGGAAAAAGGGGGAGGGCAGGTTTAGGGTTTAGGGCGTAGGGTGAGAGGCTTTGGCCTTGGCCTAAACACACCTAAGGCCCGAGGCCTCGGCGGATTCGAAGTGCCAATCTCTGCGAGATGTGTAGTTGTCAGGGTAAGGTTTCGGGTCTAGGGTTTATAGGCTTGAGGGTATTAGGGCTTGGAGCTGGTACCCTTTGTTTGGCTTCCTTGTCTTCACCACGCTTTTTGCGTGGAAACCCTGACCCTAAACCCTAAACCCTAAACCCTAAACCGGTTTCCGCAGCTGCGGACCTCAGCAGGTTATCCAGCAAGCGGGGTTTAGGGTTGACTTTCAGGGGTTTGGGGAGTGAGCCAGTGATTGAACATCAACGTCAAATCACCCATCTGCAACGCTGCGGTGGAGGTCAAAAACACCTCGAACTCTGGGGACACTCTGAACAAGGACGCGCGTGCTAGGCTAAACCCCACCTCACCCAACACACAATACCACTAAGTCAAAGAGTCGACGTGCCCATTTCAGAAAGGCCTTCCTGCATCTGCTTCACGGCCCAAGTATCCTCTAGAAAGTACCTGGAGCATCGTGTTTCGACAACAAGGGAGAGAGGAGAGATAGAGAGTGGGAGAGCCCGAGACAGAAGATTCGACACGTCCGTACGAAATCGAGTCCCCAGCCTGAATCTGAACCCGAGTGGTTTAGGGTTTAGGGCTTATAGGGCTTAGGGTTTAGGGTCCTTTGCAACGGGTTAAGTTCCCACTTATACACACTTTCAAAGACAAAGTTGGCCTTTGTTATCCCTAGGCTGCTGAAGGCACCTAGATTTCCTACTTTTTGTTTAAGACACCCCCCACCCTTCAAAAACAAGTAAAAACAACAATGTGTGCATATATACATATATATACATATATATATATATATGTATTCTTCCAGATATGGGGGGGAAACTCAGGGACTCTTGTTCTATCTTTTTGCGGTTCTTAAGCAAATAGTTTGCGACCCGAAAAACCCGTGCCTTCGTCCCCCAAACCTTCAGAGTTTCTTCTCCCGAGTTGAGATTCACAAGCCTGTCAAGGCCTCAGCCAAGAGTTTATCCAAGGCAAAGCGAGTACCTAACTCTGAGCCCCAAACTTTCAGGTTCAGGTTTTTTAGGGCTTCGGGTTTCCGATTTCGTTTTTTAGGGCTTAGGATGGTGCAGGCTTGCCTTTCAAAACCTCAGGTTATTTTCGAAACGCTTGAAGGCAATTCTGTTTGAGGGCCTGTCTGCATCAGCCCCTGTCTGTTGTAGCTACGTAAAAAAAAGACAGGCCCGGGTCTAGGCTTGCAGGGTAAGGCCTTCCACCGCTCAAAGCTTCCTCGCTAAACCCTCAACCCTAAACCCTCAACATCAGGACGTGTTAAACCAGAATTCGGAGGTCTCGCGCCCAGCGCGGGTCACTCTGTTGACGGGTGATGTGCTTGGAGGTTCAGGACACTTTCAACCCAATTATAGGTATAGGGTTTCGGGCCTTAGGGTCCAGTGGGAAGTGTAGTTATAACCCGCTTGTAAGCCCCTTAATTATCAGTACCCCAGTAGGGTTATTGGGCTAGAAGTACCACGAAGAAGCCCGTTGCAAGTACCCTAATAGGGCGATAAATTGAGGACAAGTGCAGCGTGATAAGTGCATATAGAGTTGGGTGACTAAGTACCATGAAAAACCTCCAAGCTGTGGCTCACAGATGTTGAAGGCCGAGTCTTTACTTGCTGTCATTGTTCAAAGACGATGCCATCTGCTTCGGGTTTAGGGTTTCGGGTTCAGGGTTCAGGTTTTGGGGTTTAGGGTTTAGGGTTTAGGGTTTAGGGTTTAGGGTTTAGGGTCTAGGGTCTAGGGTTTAGGGATTTCGATGCTCTTGGGAGAAGCCTGGCGGCCAACCTCTCCAATCCATGAGTGTTCTTGCAGCAAGGAACCCTACACCCCAAACCCAGGAACCCTGAACACTAAGCCCTAAACCCAAACCACCAGGGTTAAGTTTAGGGTTTAGGGTTTCGGGTTTAGGGTTTAGGGTTTAGGGTTTAGGGTTTAGGGTTTAGGGTTTAGGGTTTAGGGTTTAGGGTTTGGGTTTAGGGTCTAGGGTCTAGGGTCTAGGGTTTAGGGTTTAGGGTTTAGGGTTTAGGGTTTAGGGTTTGGGGTTTAGGGTTTAGGGTTTAGGGTTTAGGGTTTGGGTCCGCGCCCCGCCCCCCTGTCGTTTGGGCCCCCCTGTAGGGGTGTGGTTGGGGTTTGGGTTGAGGGTTTAGGGTTGAGGGTTTAGGGTTTAGGGTTTAGGGTTAAGATCGAGGATCATCCCCAAACCCAGTCGACGCCCAGAGATTTAGGGTTTAGGGTTTGGGGTGTAGGGTTTAGGGGTTAGGGATTCCCCTAAACCTTCAAGTCCTGAAAGCGAAAGCTTCCTATTTTGAACGCCGAGCCCTGACAAATCTTAAGCATCAAAATCGCTAAGCCCGTCATTCACTCCGTAGATCATCTGTGATGCTAGCCTGGAGCCCCTTAATATTGAAGCTCCATGAGACTCTTGGTAAGTCAGGTGAAGGACGGTGAAGATCTCCAAACGGGGATGTGGTCGGACGCTGAGAAACCCTGCGAGACGTAGTGTGGTTCATGGTCACGAACGAACATCGCAGTGACATGCAACGCGCTTGTTTCTTTGCTGCTTTGGGCCCCGCTCAGGAAAGAACAGAAACACTAAAACGAGCAAGCAATGTGCTGCTTGCTCACTTCTTGTGTTCTTGTTTCCTCGCATGCTTTCTTGCAGATGCTTTCTTGCAGGACTTCAGGGGGCCTGGTTCTGTTTGTATGCCCTGTCAGTTCCACCTCCCAGTTCCAAGTGGCCGCTAGGCCCGTGGAGACCTACAAGCAGCTGAAGTGCCGGGAGTGCGCGCAGCACGACCAGAGCCAAGAGGACGGTTTCCTGAAGGGGTCGGGCTTGACATGTCAACCCAGTCCCTACAAACATCTACAAGCTCTTGGTTCAGGGTTACAGGGGCTTTATGGGTTTCGGAATTTAGGGTCCCGAAATTGGAGACCCCGGTGGGGTCCAGGGTATCGTGTGGTGGGAGGACAGGGTCGTTGTCGACAGATTTATGTAGCTGCACATGTGAGGGTGTAAGAGTACTCAGTGCTAAATCAGCATTCCGTTGAAGGTGCCACGTTGTATCTCGCCGCTCCATGACGGCTACAGGGGAAGGGACTGCGCAGCTTAGAGCCAAAAGAATAGCTGCCTTTTGCTATGTGCGCTGGAGGTCCAGGCTCTGCTACGGGATAGAATCACATTGGTAGCGCCGTCTGGCAGCGCCGTGCCAGAGGCAGCGATCATGTACTTCGATGACGACCTCTTGGACTTTGACCTTCATGAGGGCGCAGAGGGCATGAGCGCTGGCGCTGCACCTGGCGACTTTGGAGACGGCGATGCCGGCTCAGGCGCAGGTGCGAACTCCTTGTCTACGCTGCAGACGCTGAGTGCCTCTTCGAGAAGAAAGCGTGGCTCTCGTGGTGGTGTGCAGGCGCGGCAGTGTTCTGCTCGCGACAACTCTTCTACGGGAAAGCCGGCAGCGAGCAAGAGATGGCGATCTGGTGCAATTCCTGCACCCCCGGCGTTTGACGGTGACATCGAGAGTGACCCCTTTTGCTTTCGACACTACAGGCGCCGTTTGAGCCGCTGGGTGGAAATCACTCGTGAATACTTGCCAGCAAACGAACAAGCCCTACGAGCTCTCGAAGGTCTTCGTGGAGAGGCTGAGATCGAGATGGAAGAAGTTGACGACTCCAGGTACAACGTGGACAACGGCGTGGACATCCTCTTGGGTGACCTGGAGGCCAGCTTCGGTGCCAAGGAGCTGTTTCGCCAGGGCGGAGTCATCCGAGAGTTCGAAAGCTTGTCAAGGCTTCAGGGCGAGAGTGTGGCCTCCTTCATACGTCGTTTCCGCCTTTTGGAACGGCGTCTTCAAGAGGCTCATGTTCCTGCATACCCTGAAGCTGCTCGAGTCGTGAAACTGCTGGACGCTCTACGTCTGGACGAGCGGGCCACCTCACAGGTTCTACTTGCTGCAGGGAATCGTTATGAACTTCGCCCGGTGCTGGACGCCTTGAAGATTCAGTACCCTGCTGGAATGTCATTGACTGGCATCCCTCGTAGCCGCAGCGACCTACGTGGACTACGCGGGCGAGGCGGCCGTTCGACGTCTTCGTCTTCTACATCTTCGAACAGAACATCAAGGGCGCGAGGTACGACATCGAGACCCTGGCGACAATGGAACACGTCCTGGGAAGAAGGCGATGGCGAAGAGGATGAAGCTCCTTGGG